ACCTCCACACCACTTGGGTGTGTGCGTGTGTTTGTTAGGGTACCATTTTTGGATGGAGTAATAAAGGGAAACCAAAAAGGACAACCCTTTGGCGTTCCAGAGTTCACGCAGAAACGCCAAATTCCGAGTAGTTTTATCGCCCGCCTGGGACCGGCTCCGGACTCCTGCAGCTCCACATCGGAGGCGAAGTCCGAGATGCGCCGCACCTGGATCTTCACCTGAAGCGGTGTGTAGCGCCCGAGCGAAGACCAATGCGTTCCCCGGGCTTGGGACGAATGCAATAGTATTACACCAGGGTTGAAGCTACGGAATTGGCCAAAAAAGCGGATTTCGGTGCTCTGGGCTTGGCTCCAACATCAAGTCGGTAAGAGGCTTCCCTAATTGGAAACAGCCCCAGAAATTCAAAACATGGATCGACCTTGTCCAACCCTTCCACTATCGTTGAAGCGCGACGGAGATTGGAACGCCCAAGGGGAACGAATCATCTAATGACTGAAAAGGGACAAGCACTTATTCAAATTAAGCGTGATAGTCCTTGTCTCGATTGGATCTGGGCTAGCCCAAAACGCAAGGACACTCAGGCGCCGTATGGCACAACGGCACCAACTTAGCTCCGCACGTCAAACGTGCAAAAACGCATGATGACCCAACGCGCAACCCCGAAGATAAGCAAGTATCAACAATCATCTACTAGCAAGACAAGGAGGAATCTGTCTTTAATAGCTTTCTGTCGTCACAACTTATTATCACAGCACGTTCGCTGATAGAGGGGCACACAAAAGTATCCGGAACCTGTCCGTGAGAGAGGAACAAAATAAAGGAATGCTCATAGGCCCTCATGCATGGTTGGTTGATCTTCATAAACAAGATGTCCAGCAAAGGGTCCCCAATAAACAGCAGAACATACCGACCTCGCTCCTCCAGTTACTTCAAATGGCAACACCCCCCGCCCACGCCTCCTCGCCCATGCGTGGGTTGCCCGCCACTGAGGTGACGCTACCCAGCCAGGCTTCCGGGTGCTGCCAGCTGATGCTGTTGCCCCTCGGAAATCAAACCCTTCAGTGCATTTGCACGGCACACAAAGGCCCCTCCAGAAAAAAAGAAAGAAAGAAAAGAACAGAGAAAAGGCGAATTACCGGCGGATGGCACGCGCTCTGGCCCTTGTCAACCCTAGTCCCAGCAACAAAAAACGACACAAAACACGACACTAAAAACGACACAGGCCCCACACCCCCAAGCAACCCTTCCTCTGGAAGATCCCAAACCCTTACAACCAAACACAAAGCCCAAAGGCACTCTACAGCCCAGACAACAAACCAAACGACCCACAACAACCCAAGCCGCAAGCGCAGCCTACCAACACGTAAACCCTGAAAACCCGAAGCTCGAGCTACCAAGGGCCCATCTCAGACCTCCTGCCATGGAAGAATTGACTCCTCTGTCGTTAGTTGACTTCAAAGGGCAAAATTTTGAAGGAAACACCGGCACGGGATCCAGGCCAGGGGGCTCCTCTGGGCTCGGCGTCTCTTCGGCATATTCGCTGGGCACCATCAGAGCCAAGTCCGTGGGCCGCAATGGGCGGGCGCCCTGGAATAAGGAAAGCGCGAAAGAAGCGGGTCAAATCAGCCCATGGCAGATTGAAACGCTCAAGGCTTAACCAGCTACTGCCATCTTGTCCTTTCTTTTGATGTATGTGACTACACTTATCTTGATGGAAGGAGGGCAAAGAAGCAACACCATACTGGCTTGATTTCGAAGAGTTTCGTTTCCTCAGAATACTTTGGCGCAAGCATCTCGCTGGACGTGTGCACTTGAGGGTGTGACATGCAGAATGTGCAGCGGTTGTGTGGCCGAACTCGGCGTTCAATCCTCGTTGTCACGCATTGCCCCTACATGATTGTTGCATCTCAACTCGTCACTCTTTTCCTATGGAGGTGAATCCCGTATATGCGACATGTTGGCGTCATTTGCACTCCGCAGCCCCCTTCCAGTGACTGTTTCCAGGGTTGGGCGATTCAGCCGCATGATTGAATCTTTGTTTGACCACTTCAAGCTGTTTAAGTTGCCTCCTTTCGGTGTCCCTTTAAAGAGGGGACCAGAAATTGTTCAATTAAACAGCTGTGAGCAACCGTTCTCCCGACCTCCACGAGCTCGTTAATGTTCCTCCCCGGCGAAGACGTCAGAGACACTCTGTCCGCCTGCCATGGGTCTGAAAACCTTTTAGTTGAAAGGGAGTCAGGTATGTGTCAAAATAGGGGGACCGCAAAATGGGTGGTGTCCCTTGCGTTTCCGTTGGAAGACTTAACCAAGCCACCAAAAGGCGCACCCTCAAACACAAAAACACGCGCACACACAAAGACACAAACAAAGTTTCGCACAAATGCAAGGAACTTCTTTCGATCCAAATCATGGTGTATGCGAAATCACAAATCTGTTGCGGCTCATCTTGAAAAGGAACCAACAAACCAACCTGTTAGAATGGCATCAACTCATGTTCCACCCTCAACCTACCCATAAAACATGCTTATTGCCCCAAATTTCCAAGTAACATCCCATGTTTAGGGGTAATTTGCGGTGGTTCTCTCATTCCAGCTGCGTCAGGGGCTTTGGGTTTCTGCGCCTCGCAGAAGTGGATTTCCACTGTGGGCACACCCCATGCGGTCGAGGGATCCAACTCGTAGGTCTGGATGCCAGCCATCAACCTGAGAGTTTCTGAGTTGCATCCCAGACATCGATGTCTAGGCTTTCGACTGGTTTGCCCGGCTTGGTAATCGAGAGCTTGATTGGTTCTTGTTGGATGCTGGTTAGCCCAAAGGGTGCCGTTGTACCTTTGGAGGATGGTTGCTTGGGAGATAGAAGAGGTTGAAGTACCTCCTTAGAACTGGGCCTTTAACTCACCCAAACAAAGAAGTAGAGGTGAACTGTAATTGGGCCCCCTTGAATAATACTATTTACTTGGGGGTGCATGTCCACGCATGTTCGAAGTTACTAGCCACCTGGCGTTCCCATTCTCTTTGACATGCACCGCACAGCAGAAGTCAGACATGCATGCGTGCAGCATCACTCTTATTTGGGAGTGTTTTTTTTGAGAGTTCCCGCTTTGCGGTGGCTCCAGAATGAAACCAAAGGACAAACCAACATGCCGTCGTGTTTTTTTGTGTTTTTTTTTGCGGAGGCCTTTTGAAAAACACCCATTTGAGAATAGTGGATCTGAATGTCGCGGAAATGTAATCCTTCCGAAAACATGTACATCAAAATAGGGATGGTGCACGCCTAAAATGATCGGCTTCCTTTGGGTATCGCTTTAAACCAACCCCAAAAAGGCGTACTCTCAAAAAAGCACACACACACACACACACACGCATCTCCATACCCTCTGGGACACCTTAAAAAGAGCAACAAAACGGACCCAAATGGTTGGATGAACTCTCCCGGGCAGCCCCTTGCCAAGCTTCGATCCGTGCCGTTCCAGCGCCAGCAAATGCCGGAAGCGCCGAAAGTACTCCTTTCGTGCAACAGCGAGGTCTCAACATCAATCACAGCGAGCAACACTGATCTCGGGACCCTAAAACATACTGCGGAGGTGATTGCCCCCAAAATTGAGGGGGTGACAGATTAAGGGTAGGTTAAAAAGGTTGACTTGTGCTTCATCATACCCAAGATAGTTGTAAAATATTGCATGCTTGCTATGACCCCCTGTGAAAGCAGGAAGCAGAGCTACTTAGTAAGGTAGCAAATAGGGGTCCTGGGCTCTGTTCATGTGTGGATTGTCTTGATTAAACAAAACAAGCTCGCACAGGGAGCGACTTAAATGGGCGAGAGGGTGCCCAAACAAGGAAGACCTGTTCAACATGTCTCGTGTTTACCTTCCCACCCCTGACTCATGGCTCTCTGGGCCCAAGTCTGGATGCACTCGTTCGCGTCATAATATGGATCTATATAGTTGCCCTGAAATATGACATGAGTCAGGGCCAATATGGATTGTCTGGGGTGTATTCACTCCGACGTTAGGATGTCCCCTATCGTTGTTTCAGGTTTGCTCTCACGTCCTGTATTGTTCTTTCGAGAAACACAAAAAAGTAACATGTGCAGAAAACACTCCTACATCAAGTATATGACTTTAATATTGAAGCTGACTCATATGATGATACAACACGGAACATGAGGGTTCATGCCTGATAGAAGCTTCGGTCGGCCCGTTGCTCCAGGCGTCTGCGTACACACCCCATGTTTGTTTGCCATCATACGGGTGCTGTATATGTCAGAATGGGGGACCCCCGACAAATGGGGGTTTCCTTTTCAGGTTGAGGGTAACCTGAACTGAACCTCCTGGAAAGCAGGCACGAGTCATGAGCTGTTGCATGTAGGATGGCAAGATGTCAAGCATGCCTGCAAAGACAACGAGAATGACCTTTCTAGCCATCTTCCACATTTGTGAAGTGACGCAAATGAAGCGTCATGCAGAGTATTTGCATTTGCGGGGCCTCAGCATGGCACCCCAGCCCCGACCCATGACAACCTGGCGCTCACCAAATGACGTTGTTGGGACCCCGTCCAGCCCCGACCGATTTCACCAGGGGCTCTCGCCAAAACAAGTTCGAAGTCATTGCAAATCGCAATCGAAATGAGAGGTGCGCATTCAGACTTCGGACTTCGGATGCAACTCTCAAAATTGGTGGGTACTTATTGTTTTGTGGATTACAAATATTGGTGTCCTTGAGAGATCATCGATCTAACTTGATACTTGATTAAGCGTGTCTGAAAGCCCTGGGACCCCTCACCACAAGCAAGGCTGGGGACTTGCGATACAGCAAACCAGCGGTTCGGAACCAAGAGTTGGTGCGGGCCTGTCAAAAGGGCTTGCTGCCAAGTGCAAGGACCCCATACATGGGCACATTTGCAGGCGAATGTCCTTTGACTCAACTCTGGAAAAGGGTACCGTCAAAGCAACACTCACGAGTGTTGATTATGCGAGAGACAAGGAGCTTGGATGTTCCCCGTATGAAACCCCTAGAAAACAGCATGTGTTGTGTTTGGTCTATTTGCACTTTGGAGCGCTTGCCTGGCACCAGTTCATTTCCTCGCCGCCGAGGCTGGCTTCCCGTACTCCCAACGTCGCACGCACGGCGACGGCATCCTTCTCGAGATCTGAAGGGAAGGCGTCCGCAAGTGAAAAGCCTCGAAGGCCAGGCCAACAGAGATGGCTCTGTCTCAAAATCGGACACCCTCCACAACACATGGTTGCCATCTGGCACGGCCACAACTCCGAAAAGAAGGTACCCTCCAAAGAAACTCACATGGTGTTTTGTGATCTTCCAGGCACGGCGTCTCGCAGGATGTGTTGTGTTTTGCAAGCAATAACCGCCAATTCTGTTAGGGGTCCGCATTTGGAGACCAAAGTCCAGCTCATTCAAGGACTCAATTCAGATTCACCCGCCTGACCTACGTGCTGCCCCCAAACTCACGAGTGCAGCTGTTTGGTACACCTAGGAAACTACGTCACGCCCACTGAACCTGTGTCACAAACAGAAGCTGGTATTCAAAGAGTCAAATAACCCCCAATCATGTAAAGAGTTCAAGAAGAGCACGTGCACCCGTTACAGAATGGCTGGAATTTTCCAAACCCCTCACTCAGCCCGCCTTGCGGAACAGTTGCGCTGGCTGCAGGTACCAATAGCGACGGCTTCAAAGCTAAAATTATAGTCATAGTTGTCTTTATGTGTCCCGTTATTTCTCTATTTACCTGTTGTTGCTTTCCTTTGTATATATATCTATCTTTGTTATTATATGTTCCTTCCTTTTCTCGTGCGTTCTCCCTCTCTGTCTCGTTCTATCTCACTACGTATCTATGTGTCTATCTATCTATCTATCTATCTATCTATCTATCTACCTATGTATCTACCTATCTGTCAACCAACCAAATAGACAATGAACCAACGAAACGGCCAATCAACCCATGCACCAATCGATCCATGAAACAAATCAATCGAGTGAGTCAGTCAACTAGTCAATCAGTCAACAAACCAGTCAGTCAGCCAGCCAATCAGCCAGCCAATCAACCATCCAATCCAACCCAACCCATGAACCAATCAACTCAGTCAATCCAGCAATCAAACAACCAAACAATCAACCAATCAATCAATCAAACAACCAATCAATCAATCAATCAACCAACCAACCAACCAATCAATCAATCAATCAATCAATTAATCAACCGGTCAGTCAATCACTGAAACAACTCACCCAATCATTCAATCACTCAGTGTGTCCATCAGGCAACCAATCAGTCAACAAACAAGATAGTTAATCAATCGATCAACCAACCAACCAGCAACCAAGATAGTCAATCAACCAGTCAACCAACAAATCAACCAATCAATCAATCAACCAATCAACCAATCAACCAATCAACCAATCAACCAATCAACCAACCAATCAACCAATCAATCAATCAATCAAACAACCAATCAATCAATGAGTCAGTCAACCAGTCAGCCAGTCTATCAACCAATCAACCAACCAACCAATCAACCAATCAACCAATCAACCAATCAACCAATCAACCAATCAACCAATCAATCAATCAATCAATCAAATCAGATCAAATCAGATCAGATCAGATCGAATTATTCAATCAACAAACAAATCAGAGTGAATCAGTCAACGAATCAGTCAAGCAATCAATCAATCAACCAAACAATCAAACAAACAAACAAACAATCAATCAATCAATCAATCAATCCGCCTGTCTAGGTGTCTAGGAGATAATCTTGCTATCTATGTAGAACTAGCTAGCTAGCTACAGCTAGCCATCTATCCATGTGCATCGGCATTGAAATCTAGAGACTTCTCCAAGACTGCTCCGAACGCCTTCCAACCAGGCTCCGCGATCGAAGGAACCGAAAAGGGCTTCTTGGGCATTTCTATGTCCTCGCCATATGCGCGCGCGCCCCTTTGCTCTGCGCTCTTCGTCTTCTCTTGTCTTCTGTCAGAAAGCTAGCTTTCAATTAATTGCCGTACCACAGAGGTTCCTCTTAATTTTGCTTTGACAACAAGCACTGCAAAATATCAAATGAGCCCGGAGCAAAATTACTTGTTTCGTACCAAAGGACTGCGGAAAAAGGGGTGAGCCCATTGTCTTTTGTGGGACGACATTTGGGTCGGGCCCCCATGTCCTCTAATAGACTACCAGGAGTTTTGTCAATTACTCAATACTTTCTGGCTGCCGGCCCACGCACCGTCGTTGTCTATCGCGAAACCTGCCAGCTGCTGATATGGCGAAGCGCGACCGTCAGCCTCACTTGAACACCTTCTCTGAGCCATTGCGTGGTTTTTCCGTTCTCAATTTGTTCCGGAGTTTCCCAAAAGGCAGGAGTATTAGGTGTTGCAAGGTGATGAGGAGCAAACTCCAGGAGTGTCCCGAAAGAAAATTGCAAAGCACGGAGACAGATAAATTATGATACGGTATTTTCCGGAGCAGTGTTTCACCATTTTGACGGACTTTGGGCGCATATTGACGGAGTGCGCTAAGTTCTCGGTATGCATTTGTTGTTTTCCACCCAAGCCCTGGAAAACAGGATAACACAAAGCAAGATGCATCTTCGAGGTTCACATTTTGCAAATTTCTAGTGTCAGGTGCGCAGTTCAAAATTTTCCCGGAGTGGTGAAGTTATCGCAAAACGTGAGATGAAAGATGCAGGATCAATACCACAGCTGCAACACTTTCCTTGGTTGGTTCGTTAGTTGGTTGATTGGTTGGGTCGGATTCTTGTAACGCAAGGAGATGAGGGGCTGGATCACGGGATGCGCGGGGTCCAATCCTCGATCCCGCCTGCCAACTGCCGCAGCGCCGGCAAGGCCATGAAGTAGTGTCTGATGGCAAAGCTCGCCTACCAGCAAACGTATCTTCTTGATGGAACTGATGCAATGCTGGACCTGCTCTAATGGCCCCCCCCATCTTGGAACGGAGAGGAAAATCTTGGGGGTTTGGGAGGGACAGTACTTACTTTAGTATTGCCAATTCTACTTTAGTATTGCCAAGGCTGACTCTCAGATTCCCAAGACTTTCTTTAGTATTGCCAATTCTAATTTCTGTTGTTTTGCCAAGGCATTTAGTAGTGCCAATTCTACTTTAGTTTTGCCAAGGCCCATGTTTTCAGCAACCCCCAAAAAAGTTTAACACTAAAGAGGACCCCAAAACAGTCACAATACACGGCCTCTTGTGGGCAACCCTCTGTGTGTGTGTGTGTGACTGTTTGCCCTTGCTTTTTTGTAAAGAAGTTATCTTAAATTTCATGGTTTGGGGACCACTTCAAGCAATGAATTCTTCATGTTTGCCTGGATGTGTTTGCCCGTTTTTGTCCGAGGTTTTTGGCCATATTTTTTTTGCCCGGAGTACTTCCCCGGCACTCTCTCAGGCAAAACAACTTGCCACAATGGAGGACCCCGAAACAGTCATACGATCCTGAATTCGGAAAACAACTTGAAACGATAGAGGCCCCTACCGTTACAGCAGGTGTAACATTCAAGAAGACACGGTGGGAGCCGAATTCGCGAAACTGCAGTGACTTGCCATCATCCCCCGTAGATCACAAGTCACAACATGTTTTTTCCTGCAAGGAGCCAATATGGGCGTCACTCAAGCGCAAAAGGCTGGGGAAACGTATGTTCTAGTCTTGATTCCCGTACATCTTGTTGCGCCGCAGCTATACGTGTATGCGTGCAATCCAGCATGAATAGAGGGGTCTGATACTTTGACACTTTACAAAATCACGCAATGCAGGGCTGCCCGAAATAGACTGCCGAGATTTGGATCACAATACAATGACTGTATCTTCTGGACCCACCACACACTTTCTATTGAAATCCGTGGCCCACATTGATCATCCAAACTTCTCTTTTCAAGTGCATTTGGTGTGTATGTTTTTTGAGGATGCTTTTTTCTTTTCGGTTGGTTTGAAGGGAAGCCAAAGGGACCCCCCCCCCTCGCCCATTTTTGGCTCCCCTATGTTGACACATACCCAACTGCTTTCCATTCACCACCCGCATTCCTGCTGACACCTGTTTGCTTCCTTGCCTCGTCCAGCAAGGCCTCCCAAACATCCAGAGGCAGCCCTTGCTGCTCGGAGAGCCGTTGGGTGCAGTCCAGCAGATCCTGCATCTGCTGACGGTCCCCTGGGCCGCTCCGAGGCGATCAGGTGACAGGTGGTTGGTTTGGTTGGTTGCTTGAGTGAGTGGTTGGAGTGGCTGCATAGTTTGGGTGGGGCGGTTGGATGGTTGGGCGGTTGTGGTTGGGCTGGGGTTGTGAAGTGGTTGGTGAGTTTGCAGGTGAGTTTGGTGATTTTGCAGGTGAGTTCGGTGCGTCGGGTTGGTTTGCTTGCATACTGGATGGCCAAACAATGCTGCCAAGTCTCATCCTCAAGAAATATAAACACGCGTGGTCGTCGGAACATTTACATGGCTGTTGATTCATGTTGCCGCAATTGCTCAATCGCAGTTGTGACTCAGTAAACAAACTTGAGACATGACGCCGAAATCCTGTTATCCGGTCCCAAGGGCAATTGCTCTGCAAGTGCTGGAGGTTGCCAACCAATGAAGCCTCACTTGTCCAGTCTTGCTGGTGACAACCTTATTGCGAAAGTGACATCATAACATCTACGTCTCACCAGCTCAACGGCCGACCAAACGCTGGCCAGTTCAGACCGTTGTCAAATGAAAGAAAGCAGGTGGCTAGGTCTAAGAAGGGACCGGCAGCCGGCAACCATAATGAGCAAGTAAACAATGAGTAGAACCTCTCACACGGGGTCTGGGACAGTCACCAGGCTAGCACCACGTTCTTACAAAACCACTTCAGAACACCGACTACAGGGCAGACGTCCATTTCCTACCACAAATCCCAGTGACCTCAAAAAAATCATGGACCACTCTAAGATCCACCCAAACCCCGCGCGCTTTTACCCGCGTGCCTTCGCCGAGCACGGCACGCAGCAGCTGGGGAAGGAAGAAGGACCAGGTGCTGGAATCCGCAGCCTCCATGAGATCCTGCGCCTTCATGCACGCCTCCTGAACAAAAACAAAACAGGGGTTTTCTTTGTGAGGCTCTGTACCTTGTTGGGGCGGTTTTAAAGGGATTTTAACGGGAAAGCCACCCAAATCAGGGCTCCCCTCACTTTGGGACACGGATGAAGGGCACTCAAACGGATCGGCCAAAACCGCCAATTGCGTGGTCAACCCCTTCGCGGTCAATCACAATGACTGCGACGACGACATGGTCAAGGTTCAGACCAACCTGGCTCAACGCCGGCTCCTATTTTCCCCTAAGCGCAGGTTCACAAATCCGGCATGCCTCCTGCTTCAAAGCTCCAACGTGACATGAAACGAAGGCGTCTTGCAAGCGCTTGCCAATGCCCCACGACCACACAGGATATCCGATTGCTTATATTCTTGGAGAGCAACCGCTTCCGATGGAATATCCAAATCTTGCCCTGCCTGCACGCGCTGCTCTCGCAAGGCCTGAGGCATTCGCTAACCATGATCCGCAACACAACAATTTGCCTATCTGCAAAGCTTGGAATCGAACATGTGCGCGCGCACATATGTGTGTTTGAATGCATGATTTGTGTGCGAACATGTGGAAGGTTTGTATGCAAAACACAATTGAACAAAGAAACAAAAAGCAAGCAAGCAAGAAAGCAAGCAAACAAACAAATGTCAATCAATAGAACAACCAAGCAGTGAAACAACGAAACAATGAATGCTTAAATAATTGAATGAAATAGTGCATGAGTGAATGATTGAGTGAATGAATGAATGAATGAATGAATGAATGAATGAATGAATGAATGAATGAATGAATGAATGAATAAATGAATGAATGAATGAATGAAATAATGAATGAATGAATGAAATAATGCACGAATGAATGAATGCATGCATGCATGCATGACTGAATGAACGAATGAATGAATGAATGAATGAATGAATGAAGGAAGGAATGAATGAATGAATGAATGAATAAACGTGTGAAAAGACCAATAAGTGAAGAGAAGGAATGATTGGATGGATGAATTTATGAAGGAGGAAGGAAGGAAGGAAGGAAGGAAAGAAGAAAGGAAGCAAGGATCAAAGAAATGCACGAATGAATGAATGGATGGATGAACGAATGTATGAATGTATGAATGAACGAATGAGTGGAATGAATGGAATGAATGGAATGCATGGAATGAATGGACTGAATGGACTGAATGGAATGAATGGAATGAATGGAATGAATGAAATGGATGGAAGGAATGGAAGGAATGGAAGGAATGGAAGGAATGGAAGAATGAAAGAATGAATGAATGAATGAATGAATGAATGAATGAATGAATGAACGAATGAACGAATGAATGAACAAACGAATGAATGAATGAATGAACGAATGAACGATTGAAAGAATGAATGAATGAACAAATTAACGACTGAACAAATGAACGAATGAACAAACAAACGAACGAACAAACAAATGAATGAATGAACGAACGAACGAACGAATGACTGAACAAAGGAAAGAACAAAGGAATGAACAAAGGAATGAATGAATGAATGAATGAATGAATGAATGAATGAATGAATGAATAAATGAATGAATGAATGAATGAATGAATGAGTGAGTGAATGAATGAATGAATGAATGAACGAATGAATGAATGAATGAATGAATGAACTAATGACAGAAAGACAGAAAGAAAGAAAGAAAGAAAGAAAGAAAGAAAGAAAGAAAGAAATAAAGAAAGAATAAATGAATCAATGAATGAATGAATGAATGGATGGATGGATGGGTGGGTGGATGGGTGGAGGAGCACATTAATGAATGACTGACTGACTGACTGACTGACTGACTGAATGAATGAATGCATGAATGAACGAATGAATGACTGAATGAATGAATGATTGAAAGAATCAGTTCATGACTCAAGCCAACAATCAATGAATCAATCAATCAACCCATGCGCCAGTCCCAACATTTCTGTTCGAACGGCAAACAGTTCACCACTGGAAGCCACGTGGTAGACGGATACCAGCCCAAGCCATTTCAACAGCATTTCGCTGGAAGAGGCTCACCATTCTGTTCCAGAACTGGAGCCACGCCAGCTACTACTCCCACGTCACAAGTTTTGTGATTCTGATGGGTTTTTGGGGGGTGGTGTTTGCGCCGTGGGTCTTAAATCACCAAGACGACACGTGATTTCTATGACATTCTGCTACGGTAAATGCCACCAGGTGCGCCGGCTTTGGCCAGAGCGTGTGCCCCCAACTCATACTCAGAAATTCACCCCCTATCACACAAGGTGCTTCTCCATCGAACCACCCTAAACCTTCGGGCGCCCATATTGCAAGCCAACCTTCGACCACGAAGCCATGGTAAATTACGGTGAGCTACTTGCAATGCTTATGGCATCCGTTGCATCTCTTCAACTTCAAAGAGCAAGAGGAGATAAGTCAAGGATTCCCTCTTGAAAGGGGCAGCCTACTCATCAACCAGGGGTCTGATGTCGATTTGGGGGGGGTTCTCAAAATCATGGTTCGCTAAGCGTGTTCAAGTACCAACCAAAAAAGGTCCAATATTTTGTTAAAACGCTTCACGATATATACAACTATATCTATTTGCGTTTGTAGACAGAGGAGAGAAATAGACTCAGCCGCGCTCATCTCTTATCACCTTTCATCCCGTCTCTCGTCAAGCTACACGTCACGTCCTCCTCGCGTCTCTCCTCACATCAAGCACTGCGCCCGCCACGAAATATGTACGCGCCGCTCGCTCCAAAATGCTGCGCCTGCCACGAAATCTGCATGCCAAGCTCAACAGTGCTGCGCCTGCCACTTGCTCCCTGATTCCTCTTTCCACTGAGGACCTTCAGCCCAGGCTTGCCATGAACCCTCCAAGATCAAAGCCCTAGGCTCTGCAGAGCCACCCGGCTCCTGTGTGTGTGTGGTTCTCACTGGCACTCCTGGCAAAGCTTAGGAGGCACACCCGTACAAGGTGAGCCTCCCCTGCGCAGACAGCCAAAAAGAAAGATTGGGCAATGTGAGGATTACGCAGCTTTCGTGTTTAGAACCGGGGGTCGTACGGCGCCCACTCTCCTCGTGCCTGCTTGATCTCTTCCATCGTCCCTCGGTCGGAGTCCGAGATCAGCGGCATCTGCTTCTGCTGGCGGAGCATCTGCTCGTTGGCCAAGGTCTGAAGGCCCCGAGATCGAAACCCCAGAAGTGCTACCCCCTTCGAGCTGGTGGAGGGGCTGTTCTGGTGAAGGGGCCAGTTCTGGGTTTTATATGATATGCTTTTGTTTGGGGGGGGGGGGTGAAGAAGAAGGGCTCCTTTTGTTGCTTGGAACGCTTCACTTGTTTCGGTGACACTGGGTGCCGCCGTTGAACAAAGCTCCTAAGGTGAGCTGTTTTACGGCTAAACCATACACAAATTGGTGTGCAAGCAAACATGCTTCGGCCATCTGAGTGGTCATGTGGAAGCTGCTGCTGACACGCACCCTCCTGATGAGTCTACGGTGTAAGCCAAAGTTACAATCGCGTGACACAACGCATTGAACAACTAACCAACATGGAATCCCACGTCAACTTCCAGGTTGAGTGTTGTCCGGACACTATCGCTACAAAGGAGTGCGCCGTTCAGTTTGAATACGACTTTCTGACATCACACTGTGGATTTGGCAAACAATGGGTATGGTTTCGAATAGGCGAGCCTACAGTCGGCAATCATATGGGCATTTGTGTCCACCAACCATCACCAACCTGTTTTGAGGGTGCTCCCACCATGAACATGCATAGTCAAACAGCTACATATCGAGTCAACCCCGAATTAATCAACCTGGAGGACTATTAGGCAAAATGAAAGTGTCCTCCCTACTGATCAACCAGGCGTTCATGAATCCAGCGTTCTCATTGTCTGCGCGAAGGTTCGCGAGCCTTTGCCATCATCTTGGAGGAAGCTGTTGCAGTGACCTCCTCTGTGCACATACGACCACCTTCCTGGTCAAAGAAGTTCCAGGTGAGTTTACACACCTCAGCTGAGCTCGCCACAAACCAGAGCAACAGGGCTCTCGGTTTTCCAACCCCACGGCTGTTGTGTAACCTCTACTTCACCTGTTTTCTGGGCCAGCCGAAATAAGATGGGCTTTGAAGGCCAGGTAATCCTGAGTCAAGGAGGCTTCCACGGGCAGATCCATGCGGCACGGGGTAGATGTGATTCCCAAGTCTTTGGCCGACCTCTGAGACGTTTGCCAAGGCTGGACCAACGTGCCCCAGAAGTGAAACAGGAACACAATGCCGCAAGGCGCGTGAGAAGTCTGACCAAATTAACCCAATACTCTACCCTTGCGCCCCAAAAACTAATGCTGCCTCTGTTGGTGATGATTGCATGACCAGGGAGTACTTTTGACCCAGCATGGTGTTGCCTTAACTGGCGGCCATACGAAAGGCCAGCGGGCCAAAGCGAAGGCCACAAACAATTCGACATGAAAATCTAGAAGGGTACCCAAATGAATGCACGCGCCGGATGTCGCGGGAAGGACGTTGGAGAGCATGTGGCCATGTTCGATATGCTCCCAGTCTTATTGCAGCCAAGGCGCAAAACCTTCTGAACTCTTTTCTGTGTCCCACTTTGCCTGGGAGAGCTTCTGGAAAGACAACCCTTCAAAAGGTGGCAACATTGGCAGCGTGTGTATGACCAGCAGTCAACCTGACACGAGTTTGGTTGGCCACGCACCTAGCTAATGTTTATCCAGTGTCTTTTGTGGCTGCAAAGCAAGCGCTCCTGCAGGGACTCTGCAAGCACTCGGCAAGCAAATGCAACAACTCGAACAACCACAATAACCTGAAAAAGACGCCCGCTGCGGAAAAAAAAACAATACACCATGACAGAACATGATGCCTGTTGGTGAGAAATTGTGGATCTAGCGTCCCCGCATAGTTCAATCAACATAGAAAAGCGGTGCCACGAAGGGTTTCAGAGTGTACCCAATCGGCCATCATGACCTGCAGACCTTGGTCCGATGCTTCGCCATGGAGGGCTGTTTGTCGTGCAGAAACTTGTGTGGGCCGGGAGTGCAGGGCCAACAGGAAGGCTCATTTGGACACGTTGAGTCACATGTCTTGCGTTGAGATCCCAATACCAACCGCTTCAAGCCAAGAAACATGCGACCAAGTTTCTCTGCACCCAGCAAGGTGTCAACTTTCTTCATCTTGGAGAACACTATATATATATATATGTATACATATTTATTTATAACACCAACACAACCTCTGCATAGCGCACCCGGATGTTGAGCTTCTGGACCACGTTGTTGTGCAGCGCATTGATTTCACCTTGAGATTCGTGGGCAGTTAAAAGTCAAACTGGAAAGTTGAATTTCCGAGTCATGTGACGCTCCCGAGCCGTGGCCACCGGTGAATCTAAACCCAAACGCCCTCGCCGACCCCCAGGGGCTTCCAAATGCAAGCTCGACTGAACAAACTCTCGCACCAGGTCAGCGTTTGGCAAAGCCAGTGGCTTCCCCCGCCTTGTTGGATGACACTTGGGACCTTTGAATCCAAGGCGCCCATGCGCTGGCGATCCGTGGCTGATTTGGCCTGAAGCCAAACGATTTGTTCTTCCTGTGGGTTGTTGCTTCTCTCGATATCGTCAAGAAGTCACGGTTAACCGTTGTTCGCATTTTGCCAGAATAATACGGCACATTGGCTTGTTTTCGTACTTGAAACTCGAACGATGCCCCATGACATCCATGAGCTGCAACACAGCCACATTTACAAACTTGCGCAGCTCCAAAGGGTCCGCTGAGCCACGGTGAAGCTTTCAATATCCGCAACTGACAGATTTTGGCGCAACCCCAACTTCTAAATGGTATTTTGGACTGCCCCATGTCCTGCCCTGTACCCTACCCAGTGATTCCAGTCACAATTGTTTATGAGCAGTCGGGCAATCCATCACTTAAACCAAACCCGGCTTCCCTACTTGTGGGAACTGGAAGCACGCAAATATCTACCAATGTTCGGCTGCGCATTTCTTTGGGTCCCTGCCTTCACAGATGCTGATGGCTGACTCGCCTCCGCCTCAACCTTCAAAATGGCCTCCTGGAAACTGCGAAAGAAGAATCCCATCTGTTGCTCGTGGTAATCGGCAACCAGGCCATCAGATATGATCGTATGATTCCGAGAGGGGCTCACTGAAACCCGACCACTTGGGTTTCAGCAGTGGGCAAATATGATGGCCATGCCGTAAAAGAAGCGCAGGGTTTGAGTGGTGTTGATACGTAACAAGATGGCACTCCGCTTGGCGGTGCATTGGGGTAGAACCTCCAAGTGGTTGGGCTCTCACAGGTGTCCAAGCAAAGAATACCAACACCACTCGATAGCTTGGAGGCCGACCGGGACAAATTGTTGCCTGGGACTCCCTGACCACTGACCTCATGTCAAGGATCTGCTCTCGTGTCGGGGGATTAAAACATGGTAGCTGCCGATCCATGCGTGTGTGCCTGGACAGACTGTGCTTGATCCATTCCCGGTCTGCATTTGCAGCATTCCCCAGCCACTCTACCGCCGGCACAACCAACACCAGCCAGAAAAAAAGACAAACAAAAACACGAAAGTATTCTTCACCGCAAACGGTAGCAACAAAAACCACCAGAATAGATTTGCAAAGAGACACCAAACGTATCACTGCGACAGAATGCAAAACAGCTACACCAAAAACGACTCGACATTGTTTGTCCTTTCCGGAGAGAAGAAACAATCAGCAACAAGGCACGAGGCAGCCGCACAAAACCACCTCTAGAACGAAAACCACTCGAAAGTTCCGTCTAAAAGGCTCCTCCACCGCGGAGGGGAGATTTTGGTACAGCGCCATGAAGGCTTGCCTCCGGCTGTCTGCGGCCGCGCGCGCCGAGCCGGTGCCCACCACCTCGCCCTGGACGCTCGGGAGATGCGTTCTTCCGACTGGGCAACACGGGCAGAAACCCGACCCAAACAACGAAACCAATGCGCACAAAACTGGAATGGTAAATGTATGTGAGGAAAGAACCTAGGTGACCAAAAGGAATCGATCTGCAGACAGGTTGGGTGAAACCCATTAAACAAGAAAGCCTATATCTATACATTGGACTGCCTGAACCCCGAAACTACCCTTGCAAAATCGGACATGATCCCATAATTGTGAGCAACAACTCATATTTAGGGCAGTTTTAGGCTCAAGGTTCCAGGTATTTGCGACGTCCTTTTAGTTTCCCTTTAAACCAACCCAAACAGTAGCCTCAAAAAAGACACACCCAAATACACCTCTATTGCTGCACGCATGCCCGAAGGATTTGGAACATGTAAATGGTCCTTTTGGAACATTGACGAAATATGAACCAATCAGGGAAGCCAAAATACAGCGGCCGAGTCGCTGTGGTTGCAAGTCAGACGTATTGGAGCCGATTCGACTTTTGCGAACAACGACCCAACGGAATCCACTCCCCGCAGCTCAGATCAGAAGGCTCCTGGATCTGCGAGCAGGTCCAAGTGCAAACGTGGCTCTTCTCGGGGTGCGGGTTCGCCTCGTCTGGCTCAGGCGCCTCCTGGCGATCCCGCGGAAGGTAACAAAGGGAGTAGAATGGACAAAAAGTTGCGGGGTTGGCTCTGTGCGGGAAAGATGGGTCAAAACATATTCTTAGCAGAAGCCACCCCGCCCCGCCAGAACCAATAATTGCCAAATGGATCCCGCACGTCCTTTGGGCAATTCTACATCCAATTGCTCATTGATGGGGGTCACTAAACACCTCGGGCCACACACCACGGGACCGGATGGAAATTAAACACAACAATCGAAACTGTTGAAAGGGCGACATGTACAGCGAAAAAGGGAACCCCTGATTTGAGGAAACACCATTCGCATGATGCGGGTAGGCTCAGAGCTGCTTGAGAATGAATAAGTGCAAGCAATGATGCCAGCAAGCGGACTTGCCATGCTTTACTTGTAGCGTCCGAGTCAAAGAACAAAAACACCTTTAAATCTGCGAGAAAAACAGAGAGCACCGGAGACACATGAGCAGAAATCTATCTTGGGACTGATCCAAGCTGGGAAACATGCTGTGAGTTGCAAGATCACCAATGAATGGCATTGGACAAAACTGTGTGTACAAACTAATTAACAGGCCGCTCCTCTGCACGGATACAATGCATCCCCCAACATAGCCTCCAAGCAACCACGCACCCCAAGGGGGCATTGTATAGTTGATAGTAACACAATATGAATCCGGCAAGTGACTTAGCAACCTGATGTGACAAAAAGGAGATCACAACCACGCGGAATCGTAGATGTGACAACGGATGATTCGGCTTGGCTGTTTGCGTCAGCATAGCTGGCCTGACCGGACAAATCTCCACATGACATTGGAGCTTGCTGACCAACATACATAATATAATCAGCGCCCAAATCATTGGCAGTTGGAGAAACCTCCTGGCGGCGCGACCCCGTGTGCTCCAGATCGTGGATGCGAATGACACCCGCTCCTCTTTCACGTCCAAGCTGGCGTCCAGCTTCTCGGTAATGTTCCCGATGACCTCTTTCACAGGTTAGCAAAGCTGGCACTTGTTGCTTTTTCTTCTACCAACATGTGCGAAAAAGAGTTAAGAACCGTTTGCTTTATGCGGCTCCAGATCTTTGCATTTTGGCGTATAGTTACTGGCTTCAGAAACTCCAACCAGAAGGAGGCCATCTGCATGCTTGGGCTTCCAATTTAACCGGATAACAATCGGCCTCTGCGAGCTCCGGCAATCTCAGCTAAAAACACATTTCCCACTACCTCCCTGTGCATCCTCAGTTTATCATACTGCTTGTCCGATTGAAACTTTGTGCCCCCCTCCCCAGCTATACTACAGTCTATTGGAAGCAGGGGCCAACCTTCCGGCTTGGGTCACTTCACCCACATGCCCGCCCCCGTGCCCTCCAAACACACCTGAACACGTTGAAACGGCGAGTCAAGTTCTAGCAGGGAAACATTGGAAAGCATCCTGGCAAACAATGGCCTGAAGGCTTCCCGCGTTTACCCCATGTCAAAGTTGGCTTGCTTGCGAGGAAATCAGTAAGCCGCACAAGGCGAACAATTCAACATGCCTGCCCCAGCCCCTGAGGAGTGTGAGTGACGTGAACCCAACAGGCGCAAGCACACACACACAACTCTGCTTAGCCCAGGTTCTGCAAGTATGGTGAGATTGAACCATTTATCAACAATCTAATTCTAGCAAAAGCAATTCAACCCTCGTTAAGACTTAAGTACCGGTTTAAACTCAAAAGCCCAGGCCAACACGTGCGAATAAACCAGCCTCCCTGCGAACAAGCACAGGCTAGCAACCGAAAGCCCTTTTTGAGGGCAAGACGGATGTCTGGTGCAGGCGAACATTTGCAAGCCGAAACCAATGCGATCGTCTGCAAACCAGATCAACCTTTGCATGCTTCTTGTTGTTTATTTTTATTTTTGCGAACGCAGATGTACCACCTGCCCTAAGTGTGGACCAGCCGAAGTGTGAAACGCCAACCATCATGCTGCAAAACCTGCAGGGGTTAGGCGACCCTCCGCGAACTTCAGGCACGTTGGCATCTGAAAGGCAGGTTCATTTTAGACAATGGTCCTGTAATGGGATTCTGTCCTGGATAGCGACCTTTGGTTCTATACCAAGAAAGTTGTGCAAGTCTCACTTTTGTGTTTACTGCAACCTCAAACTTAGTTTGGTCTCGGCTTTCACTGCTGCACTAACTTTGATCTTTGCCTCGTTTCACAACATAGCGAAGCAAATCCAAAAGAGAGAGGCTTACCTCAGCAAATAATGCGAGCACGGGCACGCTAAGGAAGACAGGCCATAGTTTCATCTGTGAGAAGGAAGATAGTAAAGAACTATAGGAACTGCGCAATGGCGAACATAGAGCTATCGCACTCCTTACGGACATGTTGCGTATTGAACGCAGTAGCTTATTGAAGTTTGTGTGTGTGTGACCCCTGCCAAGAATTCTGCCAACGACTTCAGCTCGTGTAGTCTCGTTTCTCAGTCTTCAGCAACGCTTGTAGCATCTGTTGCTTTTGGGATGCAATTCAACTTGGGACATGTTCAGGGTTCACAAACCGCAGGGTCGAACAAAGTGACTTCCTCCAAACTATCCTCTACATTGGTGGCTCAAGGGAGTTTTCCAGCCCCAAATTGTTCACTTCAACAAATCCAGTCTATTTGTTTCAGAACCCCTCAACATCCAACTCTGTTCCAACCTCCGAATCGTCCAAGGTGCCCATTGCGCCACCGCCCCATTCTGCCGTGGGTCCAGCAGCTCCGCCTGCTGAAGGCCAGTGTTCGGCTTGGTGCTCGGTTCCCCATATGTCCACTTTGGGTTGGCTACAACTCCGTTTCGGCCAGTGTAGGGGCACCCTGCAGTAGAGGAATCAGGGTTCTAGGAATGAACCGGGGATCCTCTATATCCGCCGACATTGCTCGGCGTGTCGGACACCTAAGAGAGGATAGAGGATAACCCCCCCCCCTAACCCCCCCCCCACCCGACGTCTGATACGTGGGGGGGGGGCCCCCCCCCCCGGCCCCCCCCCCCAAAGGACCGCGCGGCAATTTGATGACGTTCCACTAAACGTAGTCTTCGGGGACCCGGTGTCGCAAAACAGGGGTCCCAGGCTCGATTCCCCCTGCCGGCTTTTTTGCTGGCTTGGGCTTCCTGCATCCTTTTGCCGAAAATCTGGAAAAACTCTGTGTTTTTGGACATCCTCTTTGCGAAAACGCTGGAAAAACACACATTTTTTACATACATACATACATACATACATACATACAACATACATACATACATACATACATACATACATACATACATACATACATTACATACATACATACATACATACATTACATTACATTACATTACATTACATTACATTACATTACATTACATTACATTACATTACATTACATTACATTACATTACATTACATTACATTACATTACATTACATTACATTACATTACATTACATTACATTACATTACATTACATTACATTACATTACATTACATTACATTACATACATACATACATACATACATTACATTACATACATTACATACATTACATACATACATACATACATACATACATACATACATACATACATACATACATACATACATACATACATACATACATACATATACATACATACATTACATACATACATACATACATACATACATACATACATACATACATACATACATACATACATACATACATACATACATACATACATACATACATACATACATACATACATACATACATACATACATACATACACATACATTACATACATTACATACATACATTACATTACATTACATTACATTACATTACATTACATTACATTACATTACATACATACATACATACATTACATACATACATACATACATACATACATACATACATACATACATACATACATACATACATTACATACATACATACATACATACATACATACATTACATACACACATACATACATACATACATACATTACATACATACATACATACATACATACATACATACATACATACATACATACATACATACATACATACATACATACATACATACATACATACATACATACATACATACATACATACATACATACATACATACATACATACATACATACATACATACATACATACATACATACATACATTACATTACATTACATTACATTACATACATACATACATACATACATACATACATACATACATACATTACATTACATTACATTACATTACATTACATTACATTACATTACATTACATTACATTACATACATTACATACATACATACATACATTACATTACATACATACATACATACATACATACATACATACATACATACATACATTACATTACATTACATTACATTACATACATACATTACATACATACATACATACATACATACATACGAGGGAGATTGGGGAGAGAGTGGCTTGGGGGGATGGGGAGGATGGGGAGCGGAGGGAGGGAGAGAGGACGACAGAACACACCAGGGAGACAAGGGAGAGAGGAAGAAGGAGAAAAGGGAGAGGACAATGTCGGCGGACTGAGCCGGAGGCTCTAAAGTAAAGGAAATCACAGGGAATTCACTTCAGGGTCATTCCAACTCTTTCACTGAGAGCCCACAAGCGCGCTTCAAGAGCGGAAAAGGAAATAGTCACCCGAAGGGGCGGGACAAAAATCAGGGCTTTCCGCATGAAGCCGACTTAAATTTGAGTGCCTAGCTTATTTCTGTTGGGTTGATCGTTGGCGGTGAGTCCAGTAGCGCCCTCTTCAACGGTGCTCAAGGAAATCAAGCCGAATGGCTTCATTGGGGGCCCATGACATTAGTTCATGGACATACTACCCCGATGGACCTCAATTTCGATGGTGCAGGAAAGGTCTTATGACACTTTGGGAGGGAGGCAAACGGTCTATTCGGCCAAAGGCAGTGAGCATGTTTAGCCTGTGCAATCAGCAATCGTGAGCCGTCTTTAATTCAAAGCGGACCTGCAGTTTTCGGGCAATTCCTGCACTATCGCAGTCCAGAGTTGAATCAAGAATAGAAAAGATCGTTGTAGTTGACTCAAGCAATCCCAAAGTCGATCCAAGTAATGTCGCTACCAAGAGGAAAAGAATACCGCGCGTCGTCAAGCAAATGGCGGACGCACTCCTTTTGACCCTCGGGCAGCTTGAGCCAAAAGCAGGTGCGTTTGGAGAATGGGTACCTTTTGGAGAACTGGACACATGACGCATGCAAACTGTCATGGTTGCAAAAGGAATGAACCTCATGGATGAAAGCTTTGCTTAACCACGAGTTCATGAGTATGTGAAACGGTGGACAGACAACGTCTACCCTATACATGACGATTCCTCCTAGCAAACTACACTCAAAGAATCCCTTCTCAGCTAAGCATGCCACATCAAGGCTACTGACCGGACATGTTTTGTAAGTGATGGTGCATCATTGGCGTCGCGCCAAGCAGGCATTGCCGCTGCTTTTGGAGTGGCGGGAGCAGATGATCGCTTCTCCGCCTCGACTGCCTTTTTCATGCTCAAGCAATCGTTTGAATCTTTCATGACATTCATCTGAGTGGGGAATGCCTTCTGCAATTTTGGCACATCCTTTACACCCTGGAGTCTTGCCTAACCTCATCGCCCGTTCAAGGGTGACGTAGGTTCTTCTGGGCCGACCAAAGGTTTTGGAGCATTGCCTTCGAAAGGCAGGGCTTCTCTTGTTTCAAATGATTTGACTTCCGCATCCGGCTTGAAACATAAGCTTTGACACTTGAGCTTCAAAGAGTGGAAAGGTAAAAGTTTCCGGTATCACCAGCTCAGAGCTGTGAACCTGCAAAGGTCTGCCGTATCCTTTGGATCTTGTCCTAACAGCTTCATAATCTAAAACCAGGTGCACATCACGGAATCTGAATCCCGCATCCAACCTCCAACCAACGAATTCCTGGAAAAGTTCGAGGGTCGAAAGGAGGGAGATCCCCGTGCTTGGCTGGCTTATAGTAAACCAGAGCGCTGAATGGAATTTTGAAACCAGTGAATGGTTCAGCATTTTTAGCAGCCTCGTAAGCTGTTTAGCCTTCCTTGAAACTTTTAGTTTCTTCAGTGTCATGCGAATGCACAGGCACTGGCTGCGAAATTGATTTCGCAACACAAAAGTATTCGACGGATCGCGGCCACAATGCGTGGTGAAAGCCGGCCTTTAGATGGATCGCTCTTGTTCCCTCCTTGATTGACCTGATTAGGCTTTCCAACTTTCGGTTGTGAAGAAGATCATTTGCAATCCCTGGCGCAGGCAAGCAACCAAGGTGTTCACCGCCTCTGTAATTTCAGCAGCTGCATCAGAGCGAACAACACAAAGAGCTTTGCCATGGGCGCGAGTCCCACCGAATTTCTGAAGTGCTTGAATGTTGTGATCCACAGTTCGTTGAGTCATCGCAAAGGCTTCAACAAAACAGGCTTGTTCCCCTTCTGATCCTTTGGTCAGGTCGGAGCCAAGAATGATGCGATCAGCTCGTAAACGATGGCCGAAATGGATTGGCGGAGTTTCCTCGCCCTCTTTGTCTGCCCCCTTAATACCGCGGTGCACTCGCTGAGTCATTTTGGCTCTACGACACACTTCGCAGTAACGATTTTTAGGAAAGTGAGTGAGGGAATGTTCCAACGAATGAGCTTCTTTCATCAGCGTATCCCACAAGGAAGGTGTCCATTCAAGGTCATCATCCAAGTCGAGAGGCTTGTCCCTTTCGCTGAACCCTACATGCGATTTCTGGCGTTTTTGAACTGCCAGCTCCAATCGGAAAAAGACGTTCAGATCGTCCTCGGCCTTCAGGAATCAATACTTCTCAGGGTCTTGCACACGAAGAGTCCTATCGATATACTCCTGTCTTGCTTCCTCAGTCGGCTGTGTGGCCACGAATTGTACACACCAGCGTATTCCCATGAGCCAGCCCAAAACAAGTCACACCCGCGTCCCCAACTAGCCCTGCACTATGCCTCATGCAAGCCCTGCTCAAAGAGGCTGATTAGGAATCAGGCGGAAAGCCTGGTGAGGAGAATCGATTTTGGAGGATTAAAACCAACGTCAGAATGAGGTACCGAGCGCCACCGCCTAATGTCAGCGATTAGTAACCTCCCCCCCCCCCGATTAAAGGTTTCCCCTTGTCTTCCCCAGGTTCCAACCGAACACTAAAGTAGAGGGCCAACAAGATTTCCAAAAAAAAAAAGCTACCCAATAATGTTTGAGCCCTCCCCAAAACCCCCCTGATTAAAGGTATCCCTCTGCAGTCTCCAAGCCAACAACACCTGCCAGAAAAGGTGCTTTCCTTCTTGCTTAGTATTTGCTTAGTCTGCGCTTAAACCCACCAATGCTAAGTCACTATTGAACCCCTCATTTTTCCCCAAAAATGTGCTTCCCCCGACATGCATTTTTCTTTCTTAAAATTTGTTTAAAATGACAAGGTTTTCAAGCTCAGTCCCCCCTCATTAACAGAAAGCCACCCGTAATTAACCAGGGCCCTTTTGGGCTCAAAACCAAAAAGATATGCTGTCGCCTTTCAAAGTCCTAGAGGGAAGGGGCTCCAGAGTAATTAGGGGGGTCCTCCCAACAATCTCATTTTTTGGGACTTGTCCAACTTGTCAACCTTGAGGGGGGGTTACTAATCAGTTGTCACCATTACTCACTAAGTCTGAGTACAACAAATCGACCCGCCAAACCCTCACCCGGCCTCTTCCCGCGCCAGATGCTGCAGGAGCTGGCGGGCGGCCTCGTTCTTGGCGCCGCGCTTGGTCCGGTGCGTGCCTTGAATGGCGAACTCTTTGCCATCCCAGGACCACCTGCCATGTGCGGGACTCAACTGCGCACCGATCCAAAGTGTGATCTGAAACTAGCACAAAGAACAACGTCCCTCTTTTGTCTGAGTTCGTAGATGCATCTGGCATACGGATCAAGGATGTTATTTAAATATCCAAGAAAAGGGTGGTTTGTCAGTTCCCCAAATAACACAGGCCCCCGAAAGTCCAAAGTCGCCAAAACTAAATCTGGCTGCGCTTCAGGCACTGGGATGGAGAGATGGTTTATGGTTTAGGGTCGGTTTAGGGTTGGAAAAGGCGCTTGCTAAGGGCTGGTTTAGGGTGCGCACAGAGCTGGTTTAGGGCTTAGTTGGGGTTTTGCGCTGGTTTAGGGCGCAGCTAGGATTGGTTTGGGGATGCCTTAGGGTGGTTTAGTGGGGTTAGTTGTTTAGGGTTTTCTTAGGATTGGTTTAAGGTGGGTTTGTTGGGGACGGTTAGTGCTTGCTTACTGCGGGCTTGGGATCAAAATTGGTTTTAGGAGTGAGTTGGGTTCGGGAGTGGGTGGGGGCTCAGGGTCGGTTTCGGGCAGGTTTAGTTGGTTATTGCTGACGTGAAAGTCGTCAGGGCGGGTTTAGGGCCCGAAACGTGGGTTTAGGGTGGGCTTTGCATTCTTTAGGCTTTGCGTCACAAAGCGATCAACGGCCCTATAAAAACAAGCGGGGGGGGTGCAGCCTGCCCCTCTAGAAAACAAGTAAAGACTCTGATGGAGAAAGTGCGGGTGCTCCAATAAGCTGAGAAGCCAAACAAAGTCAAGAAGGCAAACGGCCAAAGCGCCAAACGCCGGTGATGCTGGGAATGTTGTTGCTGGTGATGCTCAGGATGCGGAAGGCCAAAGCCACAGAAGCCACCAAGAGCCACGACTAGTCTTTTTAGAGGGCCAAGCAGTAACACAAGAACGGACATGATCCATGAGCAAGGCCGCATCTGATGCGATCGTCATTGACGTCAACTGCAGCGAGCTTTGCTGAAGCATCTTCTGACTAGACACGAGCGCCCAAAGAGAAAGAGGACAAAGACTGAAGCCATGAAGCTCGGCTTCAGGCACGGAATAGCCCGCACAAAGAGACGTTGGACAAGTCCAGGGGCAAGGACGCCAGTGTGCCCCAAACGCTCAGCGCCTCAAGGTGTGAGTGAAGCTCGCAGACTGGGCCTCGCAGCGCAGTCTCTTTGCCCCAAGCCGAAATGAAACCCAACGTCCGTTTAAAGCCACAGGAGTACGTCACTTGTGAAGCTCATACCTGCTCTATCAACTCTCACATTGACACATTCACAGAGCACTTGTAGCCGCATAGACATGCAACCATTTTGTCAACATACACTCCCCCCCATTCTACAATGCAAGAACTTCACGCTCGAAGCATCTTTGCTCCCTAGCATCTCGGGGGATAGTGATTACATGTTTCTCAGCATGCGATTTGACATGACATTCAATGCACACCCCCTTTTTGTGATGGAACAATCAAAGGCTGCGTAAACAACTCTCAATGGGTGACTGGAAACAGTCGACATGCGCATAAGGCTACGGAGAGGGATTATGTTGCCATTTCTTTGACAGGATTTGTTGGGAAGTTGTCGTATTCTCTTTAAAAGGCAGCACAAGGAGGCACTGGGGCTGCAAAAAAACAGCAAGAATTACTTTTGACAACCGTCCTGGTATCCCAGGCCTCTTTTCGCATTTGCAGCCCAGCGTCACAGCGCTCGTTCTTCTGCTCGATCTGCGGTCGAATCTGGTGCTCTACCTGGGCAGCCAAGGGTGGGCCTGTGGGGGGGGGTCATCTTCTACGAGTCGAACAGGCAGCACACACACAGTCAACAAAACCAAACAACAACTGCCAAGAAGTAGAATACTCAATGACAACGACGTGCCAAACAAAAAGCAACCGAAGGCGGGGAACAACAACCAAAGAAACTAACAATAGCTACAACCAAAGAGCATACAAACACAAACAAACAAACAAACAAACAAACAAACACACACACACAAACACACACACAGCCACACAAACACACAAACACACAAACACACAAACACACAAACACACACACACAAACACACACACACAAACAAACACACACACACACAAACACAGACACACAAACACACACACACACACAAAACACACACACAAACACATCACACACACAAACACACACAAACACACACACAAACACACACAAACACACAAACACACAGACTCACAAACACACAAACACACAAACAAAAAACAAACAAACACACACACAAACACAGAAACACAGAAACACACACGACCACACAACCACACAAACGCAAACACGCAAACACGCAAACACGCAAACACGCAAACACGCAAACACGCAAACACGCAAACACACAAACACACAAACACACAAACACACAAACAAACACACACAAACACAGACACACAAACACACAAACACAGAAACACACACACAAACAGACAAACACACAAACACACACACAAACACACACACACAAACAGAAACACAGAAACACAGAAACACAGAAACACAGAAACACAGCAACACACAAACAAACACAAACACACAAACAAACACAAACACACACACACAAACACACAAACACACAAACACACACACAAACACACACACAGAAACAAACACAGACACACAAACACACACACACACAAAACACACACACAAACACATCACACACACACAAACACACACAAACACACATACAAACACACACAAACACACAAACACACAGACTCACAAACACACAAACACACAAACAAAAAACAAACAAACACACACACAAACACAGAAACACAGAAACACACACACGACCACACAACCACACAAACGCAAACACGCAAACACGCAAACACGCAAACACGCACGCACGCACGCACGCACGCACGCACGCACGCACGCACGCACGCACGCACGCACGCACGCACGCACGCACGCACGCACGCACGCACGCACGCACGCGCACGCACGCACGCACGCACGCACGCACGCACGCACGCACGCACGCACGCACGCGCACACACACACACGCACACACGCACACACGCACACACGCACACACACACACACACACACACACACACACACGCGCAAACACGCAAACACGCAAACACAGAAACACAGAAACACACACACAAACACACACACACATCACTGCAACTTGCGATGCACTTGTCACAAGCAACAGCTTTTAAACCGGAAGAACAAGCAACCAATCAAACAACCCATCCAAACACACACGCACAAAAACACTCACGAAGCAACACAGCAACACAATTCTCACAGCGAAGCTGGAACATCATCAAAGCTTTTGAGCAACCAGTGGATATTGCAATCATAAACAAGAGGGATTGAAAAAACAAGAGGGATTGAAAGCGCATACCAGAATTGAACAGAGGCAACCAACAAGCAAACCACTGCCAGCCAAAAACAATGATAACAAAGACATACCATCCATGCAGTTCACGCAACACACGAACAAAACACGCATACAGACCAAGCCAGCGTAAGAAGCTGGGTGAACCAACATGCAAATTTGCCCGTAGCAGCTGCGGAGCAATGTTGTAGCAAGGAAGCACATTCTCCGCTCGCTGCAGCACGGTAGCCACTGACACCTGTGAGAGTCGGACGCGCAGTATCCTGAAGGACCGCGTTAAAAAGGAAACCCTTTGCCGGGAAGCCGAACTTGGTCCAATTATACATCTGCTGAGATATGAAATGCCCAAATTTATATGTAAATATAGGTACGTCTAACTATCCTCTGCTCTTTCTCTGTCCCTTGAACTTTCTCTGTCTCTTGACTCTTTCTATTTGTCTACCTATCTTTCTTTTTCTCTAGTGTCTACCGATGTGCCTATCTACCTATCTATATCGAGCTTGTCCATCCACCAGTCCATGCCCCAATCTATCCATCTGATCTAGTTGTCTATTCCTATTCTATCTTATCTTACATTCTCTGTCACGTCTGTTCTTTCTTATCTACCTACCCATATACCTATCTATCTATCTAGATACCTATCTATCTGTGTCTCTCGCTATGAAAGAATCTATGCGCCTGCGACGAAATCCATGACCTTGCGGAAGCGCTGCGCCTGCTCGCAATCTGCGCCTGCCACGAATCTGCGCCTGACCTTGCGAAGGCAAAGTTCTCTGCTTCTTACAATGCCCCAGTTCGCGGGCGGATGGATTCTTGGAGAGAGCTAGCTCATTTAGTTCCAGTACTGCGGAAGTTCTTGTCCAAATTTCTGAACCATTTAACTAAAGGACCAACAATCCTTCATCATTGAAAGTATCTTTACCCCAAGTAAGCGTGCTATCCCATGAAACTCATGCCCTCTGATGGCCTCAATTGGAGCCTCTGATCCGGCTCGTTCCCCGGGCCTCTCTTTGTCCCAAACGCCGTAGGTGAATGTTCAGCCTACGTAGCGCCATGTGACGCGGCCTGGCAGACCTTCGAGAGCTACTTGGGCAAAACTGGCTGCAACGGCGTAAGCCCTTTGCTGCACACATGAGAGATACTTGTATGCTACACGTGCATGTGCGTGTGTGCTTTTCTGGACCGAAGTTCATACATGGCTGCACGCACACACACACACAGACACACACACACACACACACACACACACACACACACACACACACACACACACACACACACCCACCCACCCACGCACGCACGCACGCACGCACGCACGCACGCACGCACGCACGCACGCACCCGCACCCGCACCCGCACCCGCACCCACACACACACACACACGCACGCACGCACGCACGCACCCACCCACACACACACACACACGCATATGTACAAACGTGCATATGTCTACCTTGGCTGCCTACAGATCTCAACGCCCCTTCCTTGCTTCTCTATATACTTGTTAAGTTGGAAACGAAACCCGTTTGGGATACTTGCTTGGGCGAATTGCGCAGGAGAAAACCAACTGATCGATCGGCAGGCGCTATTTTTCTGCCGCGCAGGGCTGCCCGCAAGACTGCAGAAACGCTCTCACCTGCTCGCTGTAAACCTGCCAAGTCAGGATGGGCTCAAGCTCCATTCGGTCCAGCAATCTTCTTGGGCAGTTCACTGGCGCCGCGGGTGAAAATGGATTGGTCTAGGATTACGCAACGCTAGTGGCAAAAAGCTCACCTAGCACTCTCACCTCTGGGGAACCATATATTCGAGTGGAGGAAGGCAAACACAAAAGTAGCGATGGTTGAGTGCAATCACGCAATTGGAGCCCGTCGCAGCTGTAAGTTAGCCAACGATCGCAAGTGACAACCCAGCAGACTTGCTAGCACCGAAAATCCAACGGAGCAACCAAAGTAACACTCACCTTCTCAGCTGCACGCATCAGACCTCAAAGTGGCAGAGTCAAACCATCATGTTTCATGTGTGAGATGTGATTTGTGAAGAACAAGGTTTCGCAACGTGCGCCCGCAGGAACACACACAAACAAATGCACACACACACACGCAAACCTGAACACACACTTAAACAAAAGGCAACCAGCGATGGCACAGGAAAAGCAAGCGGAAACCAAAATCACCCCAAAAGGGAACTGAGCATAGCAGAGGGCAAACAAAAGGAGACAAAAGGGTACCAAAAGAAACTCAAAGGGAAAGCTGGGGGAAACCGAGAGCAAACCAGGAGGAAACCAAAAGGAGGCCAGATGAAACCATAAGGAGCCAAAAAAAACCGAACTTCTTTTGCTCGCGGCAGAGTTTTCAGCTTGTTTCAAGGCTTACTAAATTGCGTCAGTGGACCAAGACCCAGAGGGCTACGAGTCGAATATCCAATCTGCTATCGGGATCCATGAAAGGCAAAGTTTGATAGAAGTCACAGTGGGCCGTGGCAACCTGTGGCACCACTGCCAGAGCTGAAAGAACTGGAATAATCGATGAGTGACTGGCTTCCTCGGAGCCACACTCCAACGTGTACAGATCAGTTGGCCGGAAAAGAGGTGCCTGTGGACGAGCGCGCTGTAACAGATTCACACAAACAAGCGCACACACAGAGACAGAGGCAGAGACACAGACACCGACAAAACACGCAGACATTTACGCAGGCGCAGGCACAAACACTGGCGCAAACGCAGACTCAGATACAGGCACAGGCACAAACACACAGACTGAGCAGGGTTGTGGGAAGGGGTTTCTCCCCACTTCTGTGATACAAGGGAATCCCCCTGTGTATAACACTTCGGTGCGAATCATCTGAGCAACACTCTTGATCCACACTTCTGATTGACACTCCTGATCGACAGTTTGAGCAACACTGCTGAACCACACTTCTCATTGGCACTGATGAGCAACACTTCTGATCCACACTTCTCATCGACACTTCTGACCCACACTGCTCATCGACACTTCTACACTTCGACACTTCTGATCGACACTTCTGATCGACACTTCTGATGAACACTTTTGAGGAACCCTTCTCATCAACACTTCTGAGCAACACTTCAGACCGACACTTCCGAGCAACACTTTTGAGCAAGACTTCTGTTCTACACTTCGGAGTGACACTTCTGAGCGACACTTCTGACCAGCACTTCTGATCCACACTGCCCATCGACACTTCTGAGCGATACTTCTGAGCAACACTGCTGAATTGACACTTCTGAGCAAGACCTCAGGCTGACACTTCTGCGCGACACGTCCGAGCAACACTTCTCTTCGGAGATACACTTCTGGTCGACACTTCTGATCCACACTTCTGATCGACAGTTCTGAGCATCTGGTCAACACCTCTGATCCACACTGTTAATCGAGAACAACGCCTTACAGTAAATAAGCAATAATTATCTTTAAAAACATTGCTTAAAGCGTTTCCCACCTTATTTAAGCAATGTTTTTCAGAAAACATTGCTTGAATGTTCTGGCTTCAATGCTGCATGTGCAGAACATGGGTCCTGCTTAGGATCCTTGAAAGCTCCTTTGCAGGAATCAATGTTGACATGTTGCTTCGCAAGTTTTTGCTCAAGCTGCCCTTAGCTGGTAATGGCTTTGGAATAAGGTGTTTTTTCCTCCTTCGAAGGAGGCATGGGAAAGCACAGAAGTCACATCAATTGGCCGGGAAAGAGGTGCCTATGGACGAGCGCTGTGCTGCTGTAACAGACCAAGCACACAAAAGCACACATACACACAGAGACAGAGGCAGAGACACAGACACCGACAAAACACGCAGACATTTACACAGGCGCAGGCACAAACACTGGCACAAACGCAGACTCAGATACAGGCACAGGCACAACCACGCAGACACACATGAGCGGTCGGTTGAACACCGCGTTTCATCATCAGGAAGGCTCCTGTCCACGCAAACTACAAAACCACACTATGCTACATTCTCTAACTGGAACTACACGCCCCCCAATAACAAAAATACAAGAAGCTTCATGCTTGAGCCTGTCTTTACCCCAAGCAAACGTGCTGTATCCCAGGCAAACTCATGCCCTGGGATGGCCCCAGTTCGAACCTTGGATTTGGTCCCAATTTTCTGTGCCTCTCTTTGTCCCAAGCGCCGTAGGTGAATGAATAGCCGACGGGGCAAGTATTTTACCGCGCACATGCGTATGAATTCTATGTTACATGTCTGTATTTCTGGACAAAGAATCATGCATGGCCGCCGCACACACGCGCACGCACAGATATTCAAATGCACATAATATGTCTACCCTGGCAGTCTACAGACAGATCTCAACGTATTGTTGTGACTCAACTCCTGCACCTGCCCTTTCCTTGCTTCTCCGTACTACTTGTTAAGTTGGAACAAGATCTCCCTTTGGATTGTGAGTTTGGATGTTTTCTTTCCGGAAAAAAAGGAAAAATCGGCTGTCGATCGCAGGCCATGTTTTCCAGTGGTCGCAGGGCTGTCCGCGATACACTGCAGCAACGCTCTCAGCTGCTCGCTGTAAACCTGCGATGGCATCATCAGCTCAAGCCCCATTCGGCCCTGCAATCCTCACGAAGAGCTTACTGCCCTGGCCATGTAGGTTTAATTGGTCTCTAGCGCATGACTATTAGACTACAGCCAGGTATTCTAGTGGAAGCCAGGTATTCTAGTGGAGGAAGGCAACGTGTTTTGAGCGCAACCAGATCCCAAACTGAGCTCTGTCAGTTGGTGACAACAACACAACGCAACGCAAGGCAGCACACACACAAAACACACATGTACGCATAGAATATACCTTGTATATTTATATACCTAGATCTTCCTGCGGCGGAAATTTCTGCCGCAACGCATTGCGGCGGAAATTCCCGCGGCATTCGAGAAAATCAGCCGCAAGCAAACAAAAACGCCGCAACCAAAGCAAAAACGCCGCAACACGTTTGTTTTCCGGGAATTTCCGCCGCATTCCCGCCGCTTTCCGCCGCATTCCCGCCGATTTCCGCCGCAAATCGGGGGGTGGAAAAAACTGAAAACAAGTTCTGCCGCATTAAAAAAAAAAACCGCCGCAAATCAGGAAGAAATGCCGCCAATCCAAAAAGGCGCCTTTTTTGATTTGCGGCAGAAATTTCTGCCGCAACGAATCTCTAGGTATACCTACTCAGACACGTATTGCGCGTGACCGACACGACGACACTCACACTACCCCCAGCGACACGAGGGTTCTCAAACCAGGTTTATCTAAGCAGTCGGCATTCATGCGTGAGGCCTGCCCCGGAAACCCCAGGTAGGTACACCACACTCCCCACGCCACTGCAACGAGTAGCTTAGTAGCCTCTGGTTAGTAAATTGGTACTTGACAACACTAGGACGTTGGACACAGAAACAAGGAACTTATAACTCAGAGAATGATAGTAACGCAACAACTCTGCTTTCCTGTGTCCCGTATCATTCATCTCGCCCGGTCACTTGAACTCTTGAACAAACAACACTTTGTATGCAACAAATGGGAAATCTAGGAGGTGGACCAGTGCGCAGCCTATTTTCAACCGCAGGTGCTGCTGCAGAGCCTGCGTGTTCCAAGACTTCGCTTGCCACATGCGGAAATGCTCAGCATCCGAATGGCAGTGGGGCAGCGGGGCCTCTCAAAGGCGGCAGCCGCATCTGCCTCAAGCTCAACAAAGCAGAAAAGCAGCTGCAGGACGCGCACTTCCCAAAGCCGTGCCGCTGCTCCCAACCACCTGCAGCTGGCGACGCTATTTCAAACACGCAAAGCTGAACTTAAACCGACTGATAGCCGCAAGCCACGCAGGCTGGGCAAGCAGGTGACGTCACACACTACCTGGCTGGGGAACGCTGACAGGCTCCCGGAGATCTGACATGTCTGCTGCGGAGCGCTAATGACTGATGCTCGTCAAGCTAGGCCAATGCAGCGATGGTCGTTATGACCGAAATCACTCACCGCACCCTAGCACTGCTTGGCAGAACCAATTGGAATATTGTCAAGTCCGAAAGCCGAAGGACATATTTCGGACCGCTTTGTCTCTTGCAAACAGCAAGCTGCACTTGCCTCCAACCTTCATGGCTCGCTTCCGGAAAACAGCTATGGCTTCAATCTGACTTCGCAGCTGTGCAGAGCTGGCGGCTGTCAGCCACGGCTAGCTCTCAGCAAGGTGTCAAATTGGGCTGGCAGGGTGTGCTTTTGATTCCCTCAGAATAAGAAACAAGTTCATCCCGTTGAAGAGCGGTTTAGCACAGTGTCTTCAGGCCCACTCACGCAATGCTCCCAGTGCTCCCATCACCCCCAGTCTCCCTTCCACAGAATGCTGGCAGCGCCGGCAGCTCAGCTCACCAAGCAACGTCAGCAATGCAGCAATAGCCACAGCCATGCCCGCCACTCCAACTGCACGTGTCAAACTTGAGCCTCGTACATCGCGCGCAACTACTTGGAAGACAACCAAGGACGAAAGCTGGAGTACCCCGTGCTTCTTGCAAGCAGCAAACTGCGATTGGCCAACACTTTCCCGCCCGTTTCACTATTGGAAGGCATTCAATTACATCTGACATGGCTGCTGCGCAGAGCAGGGGGCTGTCAGCCACACAGCTCGCTGGGAACTGGTCAAAGCAAAGTCTCAAGTTGCGCCCCGGGGTGTGCCTTCCCTCATGAGGGAAATAAAGGCACCCCGCTGTGTGACCCAAAGCCGCCCGCGGCACCAGGTGTCAGCAATTCAAACATTCTTTTGGTGGCAAAGGACAAGCTACGCTTGCCCCAAGTTTCAGGAAGAATGGCATGGAACAGCCTGGCTCACACAGGGCTGCCGAGCACACTGCTGGTCGCACAGCTGTTTGGGATTTGGTCAGGCCTTATGCGGCGGTTCGCAGTGGTTTGGGTGCCCACCAACCATGCATGGGCAGAATGCAGTCGATGCCATGCAAGCAAACCTATGGACGTCGTCGGACCACCTCCAATGCGCTTGGGCGAAAGAATCAAGTTCCGTTCATCACACACGGTCGGTTTGCTCATGGCAACTTGTTCATCGTTCCATTTCGTGCGGCACGTCAGTCTCGGTCTGCAAGCTACGCAAGTACAGAAACCGCTTCGTAGAATCGTGCAGAAGTGCTTTGCGGAATTACTTCGCAAGACAGTTCGCAGAACTTGGTTGATGGGAACACAGTGAGCTGTCCCCTTTCTCTTTCCGAGACTAAGCAGTTCCATTGGTCAGAACACACGGCAAGGTGCGTTGCAACTGAACTTGGTGTATCCTTCCATCAGGCTTCGCACATTTTGCCGACACCTATGAGGCATCTTTGCACGAGGCAAAACACGTGTGGGAGCAAGAGATGAAGGCCAAGCGCGCTTTAAGCGATCAACTCAATGTTGCAGTATGCCAACGCCCAAAGCTTCTGCTAAACCGCGCACGGACTTGTTTGTTGGTCGTTTGCATTTGTGCTCGAAAAACGGGCGCAGTCATTATAACACGCAACAGGTGCATTCAGCCCGATTTGTCGATGGATAATTTGGTCGGGCTTGCGGCGATCCCTGTGGTTTCAGTACCCAACAACCAGGCCTCGTCGGAAGAAAGTTGGTGCCACGCGTCGAAATCTGTGGACAGATGCGCTTAGTCGGACGGTTCTCGAATACCCACCGGTGCCTGGGCGAAAGAGTATGATACGCTTGTGGAAGGGTGCGCTCAGTCGGACAGTTCTCCAATACCCACCTGTGCTTTGGCAAAAGAGTCGAGTGTGATCAGATGTTGGACCAAAAAGTGATTTTTAAACCAATTAATAAATCCGGATCTCTTGGCCTCCCGTTTTTGCCAGCGAGTTTCCCAAATTCGGTCTGCCTTTTTGTTGTGAACATTTCATGATTTCCGCCATGCATGAACCGCAAGCAAATCCGGAAATGCGCACCGAACCTTGGGTGGTCAACACTCCTGCGGGTCATCTAAATCCCCAATGGGTCATCCCTTCTTCGTGCCGTCGGCCGTCATAGCCGTAGAAAGGGTTTCAACGGCAGGACTTCACATCAAACCTCATGAAGACGCTCTGTGCAGAGGGCTCATGCTTGTCAAGCCAGTGTTGGCAATGTCCATTGCGGACTGCTCAGGCACCACCCATAGCCTCGCAACTACTTGGAACATCACCAAGACTGACAAACAAAGTACGTTGTTGGCATCACTTTGTCTGTTGAAAGCTTCACAACTCGCTTCCGGAAGATTTGCATGAGTCCGATCTGACGTTGCTGCTGCGAAGAGCCACAGACTCGGCCGACAACATTCCAAGTGCACACGGCAGACTTGCGCACCGTGCGTGGTCTTTAACACGAAGTCTTTACATCCAGGCTCACGCAGCTGATGCAACGCTCCCATGGCCACGAACACCTCAGACCCGCGAGAGTGAAACGGCTCAAGCTCATCAAGCCACGTCAGCAATGCAGCATTCACCATTTTGATTACAAACGAGGGACACGGCTGATAGAAGACCGTGGTGCGAAAGCATAATATTTTATCTTTTTGTTGTGACCAGTTTACCTGGAAAAAATCAACACATGCAGCATAAAAGGGTAGTGGTCAGATTTCGCAAGAAACTACTTGTCACAAGAGTTGAGCAAAGCAGGATAAGCAGGAGCAAACTGTTCCGGGGGCCCCTTTGCCGGCGGCAACAGCAAGCTTCACAGCAAGTCTCAGCAATTGAAAAACCGGCCTGGCTTTAGGCTGACATGGCTGCCGGGCGCCAGGCCTGGCTGGCTACAATCTGGTCAAAGCAAGAACTTCGCACCCAAACGTCTCGGCGCCCGCACTCACCCCCAGCACCCAGTGCCCTCAGTCATGACCCCCAGTAGCCCGGCAGCGCCAAGGGCTCCAGCTCACCAAGCGATGTCACCAGCGATACAGCAACGCCGAAAAACACAACTACAAGCCTTCAAAGTAGACTCAATGTCGTGGCACTTTCGCGCAGTGGAGTCCACATATGCCCTGCAGCACTCTGGTTCTTGCAAACAGCAAGCTGCACTTGCTCCAAGCTTTATTGCCCGTTTCAGGAAGATTGGATTGCCTTTAATGTGACTTAGCCGGGGCTCAGTCACGAAAAAAGAGCTTCAACACAAGGTGTTAACATCTAACCTAACGTATTTGACAAAACACCCTTGTCCCGAGAGCGCAGACAGCTCAAGCCACGGCAACAATGCAGCAGCGGAACTACTCGGGCACCATGCATAGCACTTTAGGACAACCACTTGGAACAAAAGCAAAACCGACAGCCGAAGCAGGTGTGTGGCATCACTTTGCCACTTGCAAACAGCAAGCAGAGCGGGGACCTGGTCAAAGCAAGGCTCCACGTAGCGCCCTGCCGGGGTTGGCTTTTGACTTCTTGAGGCAAATAAAGGCCAAGCTCATCAAGTCATGGCAGCAATGCAGCATCCACCGCAACTACTTCGAACACAACCAAGACCGAAAGAAGAAGTGCAAACAGCAAGTTGCACCCGCCACACGCTTTACTACTTGGAATACTTGAGAGGGTGAACGAAAGCAAAAGGCAGATTTCCCACGCTGCCAATCTGACTGTTTGTGCCTATCCAAAAACAGGAGAAGAGCTGCCGTTGGTGTCAGGCGGCCACGGAAGCCTGTCCGAGTCACCGCATGGGATGGCAAGGCCAGGTCCCCTGTGTTTGCCTCAGAGGAAGCGTTGCTCATCTCGGCAAATGGATTGGCCGCGTGGGGCTACGCAGCTGCGGCGACCGCAATTCGTTATTCAGACGAACACCCAGAAAGTCATCAAGGCCCGAACTTGGGCTTGCTCCTAGTGACGTAAATCCCCTAGCTGCAAACAATCGTGGGGCAGGGGCGGACCAGGGGAGAATCGAGCCCTTGGCGGGGGCTGGGTGGGCCTGTTGTAAAGAATGGTCTTCGTCCTGGTCAAAGCAAAGTCTCACGCACCTTGTGACTTCCTCCCTCTTGAAGAGGGAACGCGCACACACTCAAAATTGCGGACGGCTCAAGCTCATCAAGCACTGTCAGCAATAAAGTATTTGCACTGTTCATGGCAACCTACTTGGGCATCAAGCACTCTAGACCAATTACTTGGAACACAAGCAAGACCGAAAGCCGAAGCACGTGTGTGGCATCACTTTGCCTTTTGCAAACAGCAACCTCCCCAATATTTTACAGTTCGCTTCAAAGCAAGGCTCCACATTGCGCCCTGCCGGGGTTGGCTTTTGACTTCTTGAGGCAAACAAAGGCCAAGCTCATCAAGTCATGGCAACATTGCAGCATCCACCATGATCATCCCGCACTACTTGGGTACCGTGCATAGCGCTCCTGTGCAACTACTTCGAACACAACCAAGGCCGAACGAAGATGTGCATGCTTAGCATCACTTTCCAACAATCCGCTCTGACCCCAAACTTTACTGTAGGTTTGAGAAGATTGGGATGCGTTTAATCTGACACAGCTGGGACCTAGTCAAGCCTGTTCATGGCAAGCTTGGCCGCAGTGCACAGCACGCTGGCACACGTACTTGAAATACAACCAAAACCGGAACCCGAAGCACATGCTTGGTGTCACTTTGTCTTCTGCAAACGACAAGCTGCACTTGCCCCAAAGCTTCACAGCTCGCTTCCAGATTTCCATGACTCCAATCTCACATGTCTGCTGCGCAGCGCTAGCGACTGATGCTCATTGAACCATGCCAATGCAGCAACGGTCATTATAACCGAAATCACTCATGGCGGGCTCCTTATGGCAGGCTTGGCGCAGGGCATAGTCTCTGACAGAAATATTTGACATTCTTACAACCAAGACGGAACGCGAAAGCACATGTTTGCGAGCACTTTGTCCGAGCTTCACAGCTCGCTTCCGGAATATTTGCGAATCCAATCTGACATGGCTGCTGTGCAGAGCCACAAAGGACGGACGCACGGATGGATGCACAAAGCGACCTGCAGGGATCTGCGGCCAACGGAAACCGTCCCTCCCCTGCGACACACGTCTCGGCTACCGTCCGGTTGGAGTTCAAGGCCCCGGACTGGTTACCCCGCACGAGCAGTCATGAACTCCGCAAAGCCCGGGCAGGCACGCAAGGCGCACAAACAAGACAGCTGTGGGTCCTTGAACACAATAGCAAGCGCGAGGTGCCAGTAGTGCCTCCACCGTTCCCCCATTCCACCCTGCACCCTATAGGCCAAGGATACCGAAAGCCAGGGCCCCGGATGGGTGTTCAAAAAGCTAGTATAAGCTGCGATCCCTCCCGGCAAGGTTTTGCCAGCAGGCTGTGGAGGCAGCCGGTCTCGGCCGACAACATTCCAAGTGAAAGCAGCAGACTTGAGCACTCTGCGCGGCGTTGCAGCGGGCATGTTCTGCAGCACTTTGGCTTCAATAGAATTCAAGCGCCACGTGCTTGCCCAACAGCTAGTCTCAGTGAACTTGACATGTCATCAGACTAGCATGACTGCTCAGACGGGGCTGCTCGGCACACAGCAGCAATGCTGAAAGCTATGACCGAAACCATTCCAAGTGTACATGGCGAACTGGAGCAGGGTGCATAGCTCTCTCTTGCGAACCTACGTGGGACAGCACCAACACTGAAAGCCGCAGTGCGTGTGTGGCAGCACGTGGTCTCTTGCAAACAGCTCAGACGAAGCCCTCACATTAGCGCCCTCTGAACTGTGCGCTGCGATGTAACGATTCCCTGTTGCTTTTAAAAGCAACTGGGAGCGCACTTTAGGGCAGAATCACCGAGGTCGCTTTCACTTCACTGCGCCGTCATGAACGCTTTGCCCGAATGTATCTGGGAAAATCATTCAGCGCACACGTTGCAGATCGCGAGTTCTGGGCAGTTTGTCAGCAGAGACGGACTGCCACGCATTGCTGGACAAGAATGAAGTTTTGCACTATCACAAATTCGGCTGGATTCACGCTCTCCAGGAAGTGATTGGGCTGGCCTGTGGCAATGCTTGGCCTATGGTCGCCTGTCTTCTGGGCCGGACGGGATGACGCCATCCCAACATTGCTTGAAATGAAACGGCATCAGGCACACTTGTTGTAAAGGCTTCAAGCAAGATCAAAAGCTTGCCAACCCTCTGTCCGCCTAAGACAAAATATGACCATATGTCAACTCTCGCGGCAGCAAAATCTGGAAGTGTGCCCTCAAATCCTCCTGTGAAAACAAGTCATCCTCACCAAGTGGACCGTTCTCAGACTGCTACGTCGAAAAGGTCGATACGGGTACCTGCAGCAACTTATTTGATCCTTTGCCGGCCGAATGCGCGCGCCCAAAGAAAGTAAATCGTGTTTGCGGTCTGTTATGCTTTGAAACAAATAGCTCGGCAAATTCCAGGCTTGGGCCAACCCCTTGTTTAGATCATGGCTTGACGGCCTACTTTTTGAACAGCCTCCTCTGGATGTTCTGTGCGTGGGTCCGGCAATTGTCTGGTAGTCTCAACCACATTGAAACTGACCAAAGAGAACACAAACGCAGATGATTTTGCTTGGGAACCCCCTTTTGCTTGGCTTAACTCAACCCCTTACATGTGTGAACACCTATCGTTTGAACAACCTCCTTTTGGTTCCCCTTCTTCGACCAAGGGTTGAAGGATCAATGGCGTTTCCTTCGTTTCCTTTTAAACAAACCCCAGAAAGGGCGCAGCCTGAGAAGACACCTGTACTTCATTTCCTTCCGAAAATTTGCGGGCCTCAGCTTCCAGATCTTCGGGCTCCGTACCCGGCAGCTCCGCGCACAGCGCCGCCGCCAGGCCTTGAGGTTGGCGCGGTTTAAAGAGAGCCACCTGTGAACCTAAGGGATGGGAAGCAGCGCAAGAAAACCAACAGGCAATTAAAGAAAGATGAGTCGAGGGGAGGGAAGATTGGCGGACAAGCTGGCTTTGAGCTTCAAGCTGTGCACCAGGAAGCCGCGTTGTAGTGTTGAGCTTCCCCTGTGGGCCTGGCAAGGCTCCCAACAAAAACCATACAGGGCCTGGCAAGGCTCAAGCCCGCCCACCCGCCCGCCCGCCCGCCGGCCGGCCGCGCGCGCACGCACGCACGCACGCACGCACACAAATACAACCACAACCACACCCAGAAAAACGCACGCAGGCACGCAGGAACACAGTGCGACGATGCGCACACTACCCTGTCATATCACAACACAACAATCAGGAAGCCATCAGCTGCGGCACCAAAGGCACAGGGCATGGCTCCCAAACATATTGCAGCCTAGTTAGCTAGGCGAAGCTACAGCCACACTTTTGCCAAGCCTTCAAGCAAAATCAAACGCCGACAATGCATGACCATGTGCCAACCTGGCGACAAAATCTAGAACTGGGCCCTTAAACTGCTCCTGTGAAAACAAGTCGTTCTCACCAGATAATTTTGCGTTCTCAGACAGACTGCTACGCAAAAAGGGTCTATCTCACTACCAGCAACAATGTTCGTTATCCTTGTCCAGCCAATCCGCTTGGATGGTCCCAAAAAGTTTCTGGACAATATTGACGGTGCCTATGGCTTGTCTCAAACCACAATTGAGTGGCATGCGCGACAACACCGCAATACAACAAGGAACAACCAAAAACACCAAACAGAGCTGGCAAAGCTGCCAATTCTTGCGTCGACTCATGTCGACAAGCCGACTGCCATCAGGACTCCGCTGACCCAAAGGGCCGCAACCAAAGGAACATCGAACCCACGCATCAGCGTAGTGAAGCTGCATACTTACCCGCACACCTGTCTTGAGAGCGTGACTCGGGGAAAAACAACAACAACCTGTTGTAAGCCATGGTCTGCCCGATGGCTCGTGGTCTGAAGCACTGAGAGACGACTAACTCTACACGTTCCAGGGGTGGGTTAGAAACGCCTATTGTTTGGACTAAAGCGGGTCAAGACGGGTCTGGTAGTCTCAAACAATGCAACCGAACCAGATCAGGGATGTGGGTGTGTCTCTTTCCTCTCTTCTTTTTTCCCGGAATCCACCTTGTGGCTGGTTTAACTCAACCGCTTTACATAAGTCACAAAAACATAACTTTTGGTTAAGCAACCCTCTTTGGGCTCCGTGCCCGAGTGCTTGCCTGGCAGGCCTGAGAGCGCGTAAAGCGCAGAAAGCGCGCTTGGGCCCAAAGAGGGAGAGAGCGAGACTGGGAGAGGGAGAGGGAGACAAAAGGGAAGATGACGTACCGAAAGGGGTTGCCCAAAAAACTCGGGTGGGTGATGTCAACCATGTCTAAGGTCTGAGGGTCCAGGAAATCACCCCCAAAAAATGGAAAAGGGAATCCAAGAGGAACCCAAAGTGTGGGAGGCAAAGATAAAACCAAAGGAAGACCAAATAAGACAGGGGCAGCCAAGAGGAAACCAGAAGGAAGTGAAAAGAAATCCAACATGAAGCAAATACACCATTAAGTCGAGACACAAGGGAAGCAAAGATGAAGCCTGAGGGAAATCAAATAAAACAGAGGGAAAACAGGAGGAGGCCCAAGGAAACGAAAGCAAACCGAAGGAAACCAAAACAGAAAACCAAAACAGAAAACCAACAGATTTCAGAGGGATGAGGAAACCAACGGGAAACCAAATGACACCAAAGGCAAGCAACGACGGCACAGGAAAAGCAAGCGGAAACCAAAATCACCCCAAAAGGGAACTGAGCATAGCAGAGGGCAAACAAAAGGAGACAAAAGGGTACCAAAAGAAACTCAAAGGGAAAGCTGGGGGAAACCGAGAGCAAACCAGGAGGACACCAAAAGGAGGCCAGAGGAAACCATAAGAAGCCAAAGGGAAACCGAACTTCTTTTGCTCGCGGCAGAGTTTTCAGCTTGTTTCAAGGCTCACTAAATTGCGTCAGTGGACCAAGACCCAGAGGGCTACGCGTCGAATATCCAATCTGCTAGCCACACTCCAAGTGTACAGATCAATTGGCCGGAAAAGAGGTGCCTATGGACGAGCGCTGTGCTGCTGTAACAGATTCACACAAACAGGCACACACACACACAGAGACAGAGGCAGAGACACAGACACCGACAAAACACACAAACATTTGCACAGGCGCAGGCACAAACACTGGCACAAACGCAGACTCAGATACAGGCACAGGCACAAACACACAGACACAAATGCGCGGTCGGTTGAACACCGCGTTTCATCATCAGGAAGGCTCCTGTCCACGCAAACTACAATACCACACTACTCCACATTCTCCAGCTGGAACTACACGACCCCCAATAACAAAAATACAAGAAGCTTCATGCTTGAGCCTGTCTTTACCCCAAGCAAACGTGCTGTATCCCAGGCAAACTCATGCCCTGGGATGGCCTCAGTTCGAACCTTGGATTTGGTCCCAATTTTCTGGGCCTCTCTTTGTCCCAAGCGCCGTAGGTGAATGCTTAGCCGACGGGGCAGGTATTTTACCGCGCACATGCGTATGAATTCTATGTTACATGTCTATATTTCTGGACAAATAATCATGCATGGCCGCCGCACACACGCGCACGCACAGATATTCAAACGCACATAATATGTCTACCCTGGCAGTCTACAGACAGCTCCTGCACCCTGCCCCTGCCTTGCTTCTCTGTACTACTTGTTAAGTTGGAACAAGTCTCCCTTTGGATTGTGAGCTTGGAAGTTGTTGTTTTTTCCGGGAAAGGAGAAGAAAATCAGCCGTCGATCGCAGGCCATGTTTTCCAGTGGTCGCAGGGCTGTCCGCGATACACTGCAGCAAAGCTCTCAGCTGCTCGCTGTAAACCTGCGATTGCATCATCGGCTCAAGCCCCATTCGGCCGTGCAATCCTCACGAAGAGCTTACTGCCCTGGCCAGGTAGGTTTAAACTCGTCTAGCGGCAAAGAGCGCATCTAGCGCTAGTAGACTACAGCCAGGTATTCTAGTGGAAGCCAGGTATTCTAGTGGAGGAATGCAAACATCAAGGCAAGTGTTTGAGCGCAACCAAATCCCAAACAGAGCTCTGTCAGTTGGTGACAACAACACAACGCAACGCAAGGCAGCACACACACAAAACACACACGTACGCATAGAATATACCGTGTATATTTATATATTACATACTCAGTCACATATTGCGCGTGACCGACACGACGCCACTCACACTACCCCCAGCGACACGAGGTTTCTCAAACCAGGTTTATCTAAGCAGTCGGCATTCATG